CAAGAACAGCAAAAGAAACAAGAAGAACGAGAAAAGAAACAAGAAGAGAGACTACAGCAGTGGTTGGAAGAGACAGAAAAGAACAGAAGAGAGACTACAGCAGTGGTTGGAGGAGAAAGAAAAGAAACAATAGGAGAGACTACAGCAGTGGTTGGATGAGAAAGAAAAGAAACAATAGGAGAGACTACAGCAGTGGTTGGATGAGAAAGAAAAGAAACAAGAAGACCGGCTACAGCTGTAGTTGCAAGAGAAAGAAAATAAACAAGAAGAGCAGCTACGGCAGTAGTTGGAGGAGAAAGAAAATAAACAGGAAGAGAGACTATAGCAGTAGTTGGAGGAGAAAGAAAATAAACAAGAAGAGAGACTACAGCAGTGGTTGGAGGAGAAAGAAAATAAACAAGAAGAGAGACTACAGCAGTGGTTGGAGGAGAAAGAAAATAAACAAGAAGAAAGTCTCCAAAAGTTGAGAGAAAGCCAGCATACACAAATGGAAAAGATTAGTAAATTTAAAAGTGAATTAAGTACATTAAAGGACAATTTACTGTCTTTTACACAGGGAGGATATATTAGCCACGGACCAAATCAGCCCCAGACAACAGGAAGCCCCTTCCAGACACTGCAGCTAAATCCTAATGCAGACATCTTCAGTCCAGCCAGAAGTCACATTTCAGACATGAGTGTTAACAATAGGAGTGATCTAGTTCGAAGCAAGCCACAGAAATTCGATGGGAAGGCACCATGGGAAGCGTATAGAGCACAATTTGAGCTCCTGGCAGAAATGAATGGATGGACAGAGAAGTAGAAAGCAGTGTACCTGGCAACGAGCTTGAAGGGACAACCACTGGAAATACTTGGACATTTGTCAGCAGATGACAAGCACAACTATAGAGCACTGGTAGCTGCTCTAGAACTCAGGTATGGAACTCAAAGTCAGTCCGAAGTCTACAGGGCTAGGTTTAGGACTAGAGTCTGTGCTAAAAACGAGAGCCTGCAAGAGCTGGCACAGGATTTGGAAAGTATGGCACACAAGGCCTACCCAACTGCACCACCCAATGTCCTCAAGTTGTTGCTTAGGAATCAGTTTATAGATGCCTTATACAGTCCACAACTGAAGATA